GTATTTAAATGATATAGTTTCAAATTTCTCGTATAGTATGAAATGAATTAATTTAATAAAAAAATAATTTCGAATTCTTTAAACGACAATTATGCTGCGTGAATATGCGAACACGGTATAAGCAAATTTGATGAAAAGAGTTTAAATAAAATTTGATTTTTTAAAAATGCCCAAATCGGAAGACATTCGACTTCGAATTTCATATCGTGGAGAATCTCAAAGCGAGGCGTTGTCTTTCGTTTGTCAATATATAACGCGAACTCTCCTAATATAATAATATAATTCGGAGCACATTCCTAGTCACACGGCGATTCATCGCGCTTGCAAGTGGGAAGCGTCCACGTGAACCAGACGCGTGTCCATTGTTGACCAGCCGGCACCTGCTATGTCCGAACCGTCCACTTGTACCTTTTGCTTTTCTCTCTCTCCTTCGAGTGTCCCACGGACATCGTAAACTTCATCCCGCGCGCCCACTCGTCAAGCATAAACAGGTTCCGCACAGGCTGCCTCTCTCGCTTCGTTCTCCCTTTTCTACCCTTTCCTCCTTTTTTTCTCCCTCGCTCGTTTCGCCTTATCTTCGCCGGACCTTAGCATTCAACCCTCTCGTTCGTGCAAAAACAACCGAGGGGTTCCGCGATTCTATCTGTTGCCTTCTCATCGTCAGGTCAAAACATGTGATAATGTTACTTATCGTCTGATCTATATATTATTAAGATTCGACAGTGGTTGTTTCATTCGCACATTTTATATCGGTCAGTATCCTTCAATATCTCTCTTCGCGCATCATTTAACAAATTAAATATAAATTCCACACCGAGACACTGCGAGACACATAGCTGCACCGTGACCGATCATACCGCGCTCCATTCATAGAGTGAGTCGATCGATGAGTTTCTCTTCATCGAAACCGAAAATGTTTGAAATAAAAACCTTTCCACATGAGGGCCGGATGACGCCGAAGGGCGAACGAAGCGAGTAAGAGAGAAAGAGAGAGGGTGGGTGGGTTTGACGGGTCAGGGGGAGGCGCCGCGTCATACGCGCGTAAGCAGGAAGACGCCACGGTAAAAAAATCCGACGCGAGGCAAAAAATGTATCGGAAAGGGAGAGTACATCCCCACCGGCACTCCCACGCGCGAAGGGTGCCCGACATATGGCCCCCTTTTTCAGCCGCGTGCGTCTCCACTTTCCCACATGGCGAAGGTACAGCATGTATCCATGCAATGCGTACGCGCACGGATATATCCGCCAAGCTGCTTGAATTCTCGATAGAACAAAGGGGGTGGTTGACGCGCGTGTTGCTTTCAACGAGTCGCTCGCTAAGAATGTCGGAGATTTCGATTATTCGAGAATACACACAGGTCGGCATAATAACACAACCTGTATTATTAGGGTTACTAGGATTTTCAACTTGCGTATATACCGTGTGCGTACGATCGTATGTGTTAAGGGCATTGTACCGGCTTCTGTATCGCGCCCGGAAATATAGACTCGAACGCACGTTGTCTGCGCGTTAGTAAAAACTGTGTAGTAATTATAGTACCGTTATAACTCTGTTGCTACATCTCTCGAACGAAATTCCTCATTTCTATGACCGCGACTCTATTTATATAACGGAAATTTATTATCTACATTTCGAACGATTACTAACGTGGATCGAGCAGAAGTAGCCAAAAGCCGGTATCATCTCGGACGAAACTTTCCAATTGAAACGTAATTAAAGTTAGCGGGCGGCGCGTTTAGGCACGATTAAGCTATGGAGGAAATTATTGCGAACGGCACACTTTGTTTTGGTGGTTTCGAGGGAAGTAGGACTGAAGCGCTCGGCATCATAAATATATCGTGGCGGTACACAAGTACCCCGGATAATAACCCGGAGTTAATACAGGAGAGTAGTTATTATTATACTATATCTTTCACTGTGTAATACGATATACGAACAGAATTCGCTATGTCATTGCAGCAACTTTGCAGTTTGAAGTTGTTTGCCACGTGGCCCACTCGAACGAAATCTCCTCTCCGTCGTCCAAACAAATTGAGACATCGCGAGGTACGGGGGATACGCGCAAACCTTTGACTCCAGTACTGGCACGGACCAATTAACGGCCTCCAGGGTGACGTTTTCCGTCGCTTTATTTCGAGGAACTCGACGTCCTTTTTCCTTCTTCCTCCCCCCCCCCCCCCCCCNCCGCTCTTTCTCCCTCTCTATCTCTCATTTCTGCTTTTCGTCCCTGCTCTTCCCGGCGTCTCTCAATTTTCCATCCGCAAGTTTTTCGCTCCCTCCCGTATACTTTCTCTCTCAGCCTCCCTCTCGCTCCTGGCCCCCTGCCCAATTCCCCGGTTTTCGGACCCTTCGTTCAGGACACCGCAGATGTCACGCGCCCCTATAGATTGTGCCAGTGATGCTCAACTAATCTACCTTGGAGGGCATCCAAAACGTAAAATTGATTCTGACATGAAAAAGTCAGTCCTCGTCAGTCGTAATTTTTTTACGCAACATTTTCTATAATTTTGCGATATGTGATAATGGAAAGTTCAATTAATAATGAAAATGCAGTTAATATTGCATCTTTTTTCACACGGAAGGTCCCAACCCCGGATTTTATTTAAATAGTATCGCTCAACTGTGCGATTCTTCCCATTTCTTCCCGTGTAGAACGGAACTTAAAGAGAACATCTACTTGTGTTCGCTACATATATGAGGGAAGAATGGAGCATGAGAAACACTGGGGACCAGGGGAGCCAACCCTCCCTTTTCGGCGACCTTCCTTTATTCATCCCCTAATGTAGGCCCGACTGGCGCGTAGGCTCTTCTCGTCGCTTCGTATATAGGGTAGGATATCTACCGGTCGGGGGCATATATACGCGCGTTATGTACATAGCCGCATACATCTACGTGTGGGAGAGATCGCCTACGCGTTTTCGTAGGTATCGTGCGAGCGGGGTGTCCCGGGGGTGGCGGAGGAGTGAATGAGCGGGTCGGCGTCGCCTATTGGGTAGTTACCGTCGAGATGCATCGGAACAACTCCCGTGCACCCCGACCCGTTCACCCTGCGACGGCCGATTCGTACACGTGCCCGTCCCCCGGGGGTGAAGCCTCGTCGCACGTTTCGCGCCCGATGACGTATCATCCGACGCGCCGTTTTCGAGTCGCGTGTCGCCGAAAAAGGCCGGCGCGAATCTGCGCCAATGTGCCTTCGGCCTTGCAATTATTTGCGGAAAACTGTAAAAAACTCTCGACGGATAACTTGCTCGAGCGGTTTTTTTTTATTCTCAAGCGGAAATGGATGTCGATTTGTATCAGAGGATTGTTTTCCGTTGAGCAATTAGATATCTCGCAGAGATTAAATTCATCATGTTCGTTAATTTGGAAATGTGTAGTACACTTGATTTTTACTTAAGGAAAGGGGAGGAGGGAGCAATATATACACGAATCAGCATTCGACAATGTTCTCCGGCGCGGACCTAAATTTGTTTTCAAGTGAAACGTTACGTTTTTTGCGGTCGTTTTCTAAATATCTGTGCGAAAATTCGATCGTAAATATTCGCAGATTAATGTTTAGAAGAATGTTAGATTGACGAGGTGCGAAACGCGTTGCTGAGTTGAGCAACGGGAGATTCCGCGAGAAATTCGGTCTTAACGTTTCAACCGCCTTGAACAGAGCGGAGTCCTTGAAGCCTGAGGCCGGTCGAGCAGCGCGGCGCGGCGCGACGTGCAATCTTATCCACGCGCGCGCGCGCGCGCTCGTTGCGATAGCGCGTGGCTAATCTACCGCGGACTTTACTCCTCTAAACTCGGCGTCGTTTGGGTCAGCCTCCAGAATAGCGCAGAGTCTCGACAACGAGGCGTCTTCGACGGCCAGGAATCGCCTTCAACGTATCTCTCCGAGGATACGTCAGCGACGTATCTCGTGAGCATACATATACGTTTTTCACCGATGCATTTACCATCATCTATATATATATATATATGCGCGTACAATAAATATACACGATAGATTACTCATCGTTATCATAGAGTAAGTTCTAACGTGCAGATTTGGTAGAGCGATAACCTTGGCCCAGGTTCACGTAAAACTCCGAGGTCCTTCGTCCCCTAGGACATTTGTCAAATCGAGACGTTCGATTCAGTCGCGCGTGATCACAGTGACGAAAGGGAAACGTCAGGACACGAATAGGTTTCTACATCAAGACGCAGGAGCGAAAGGAAAGCAAGAAGAGAAAGACGGGTGTGTACGACAGACCCGTAAAAGTATCTTTAAGAAAGAAAAAGATAATTCCACTTGTGGAGGATAAGTTATATATCATTGTGAGGAAAACTTTGCCGAGAGGAATAACTAAATAAAACATGATTTTAATATCGCTCAACGCATTAGCGTGAATATATCAGCTCTACCGAATCCTTTTCGCAGGAAAATCGGAAAATAATGTGGTATGAAGCTAAGATCGGAGATAATTAGAATATCCGAGATACTATCAGAAACAAAAAGATAAAAAATAACGCGGGTGGAAAGTGAGCCGACATTTAGATGAGAGAAATGTATCAGCCGTAATTCTCGGGAAGCGAACGGCAAACGCGTAAAAGAGTAAAGCTCGTTACACGATTTACGTGAAATGACGTTCTCGTAACTCGCTCTTGTGGCGATTTGCGTGCTTAATAAAAAAAAATACTTTCCATCCACGCGCGTGGACGCAACCGAGCGAGTCCTTTCGACATATTCCATTCGCTCGCTCGCATCGCCCGGAGCTCGCTCGCCTCGTTGTTCCTCCGTCCGATAGCGAGCGACGTGCTCCGGCTGTTTGTGCCGCTTCGCAATTTCTCCGCGTGGCGTCGCCAGCGTCGAGTCCCCTTTCGAAAATAACACACGGCCGGTTGACGTCATGCTGTCATGACCACCGTGGCGCACCAACGTCGCTTCGACGTCGTGTGTTGCGCGGCGCAGAAAATTCAACTCGAGTGAGCGCGCACACACACGTATCCGCATATACCGCATGCTCTTCCGTCGCGTGTGCGCGCGCGCGTCGATATCAGCGGCGACGTGTGAACGCGTACACATATAGGTGCGCGCGCGTCGTACCACACACACATCGACTACTTTTATCTACCCGACGACTGGTCTCTCGGCCGACTCAGCCTTCGAAGCGCGTTCGCGCGCAGGGCCGGCGGAAGACGAGATACGAACTAGTGAAAATTTATATAGAAACACGAGTATATATAATGTTAGTATTACGTTTAGTTTCGTTCTTCCTATATACATCGTGTTACGCTCCCGATACCTAAAATGGCAGTCGCAAAGAGAAAGGGGGAAATTGAACGAAATTACGAAAAAAACCGACCTTTTGTTCATGCTGAATAAAAAGAACACAGTGCTTTTGTCTGTGCTTATCGAAGTATTCTGAGCGCCCACAGTGATGAAACGTTTGACATAAGCCGCTACATTGTTCAACGGAGTTTGCGCTGGGTCTCCCTCATTGGTCGAAGTTTCCGATGCATTGTGCTTGCGCGCTCTTACGAACTGCCTTAACATTGGATGAGTAACATTTTAACGCTATGAGTAACACGCCGAGTGACGCAACCCCGGCTGAAGTCAGCCCCCCATTTCGACTTGTAAAGTTGCTGCACGCGTACATATATTTCACTATACTATCACGCGGTTCATGTGTTGCTCTTTATATGATAATTAAAAAAACAATATGTCACATCAATTCTACTTCACTGAGGACGTAGATTGATCGAAAATGGCGGAGTGACTCGTCCCGAAAGCCATTCCCATAAACATTACTTACACTTAACTAAGATTTAAGTCGGTCTTTTTCTGAGCGCCCCTCTCTTAAACATTCACACTTCCTGGATAAAACGCGCTACAGGTGTTGTGTGTTACTTCAATAACACGCGGATCGGCCGAGTGAACTTTGATTTTTAGTAGACTCCGCCATTGAGGGCACGTAAGAAATGTCTAAAAATACATATACCGTTGCAAAGATCCCTCTTATATCGTGAACGAACGCACTCGTCGCGCTCGAAAGGGTTGAACCCGGCATGTTGACGCGACGTTCTAGGCGCGACAACTCCTATCGTCGGCACTGTCGCGCGAGTTACTTGGATAGCTTCGGCGCGGCAAACATTACCTCATCACCCGGCAGAGCCACCGTGAACCTTCTCCACTTGGGATTTTACCGCCGTCACTACCTTTCGGTGCGTTCGATTTCCGCCGAGCTTCTTTTCTAACGCGTAGCGTATTCGACCAGGATCGCTGGCCAATCCTATCGGCGCCAACGCCGATCATTAACCGTTCTCGTTATTTGGCAAGTCTGAGCGAGAGTTCGTGGAAGACCGACTGTATTTTGATCTCGCACATAAGGTCGCTTTTTGCCGCTCGTGGATGCCGATCTCCTCCTTGAGACAGTCGCGGATTTACTCGACTCGACGAATCACGCCCGGTTTCGATTCCTGCTTCAGAATAGTCAATTATTTACAAGTGGCGTAGACTCACCTATCTCTCTCGTCATCGACCACCGGTCGGATGCGCCGCGAAGCTCCTCCACTTCTAGCTCGTAACCCACATTCGTCGATCGCTTCGTCGAGATCCATACGCGACGAATTCTCTTAGCTGCGCGATCTCTCTCCCTCCATTTTTCCTTCCGCCTGTATACTTCTCGAGGATTTATATGGTTATCGAAGTCTCGCGGCGCACCGGTTACCTCATATTCGTCTGCAGCCCGAGCTACGATAAAACTTCCCCGGGTTGTTCCCTATGTTTTCGTTATTCTTCCCTCGCTCGCTTGACGCCTGTTGCGTCGCGAAGAATCCGCGTCGTTTTATCACTCGATGTCAAACTTGCCGCGCGCGCGTCACAGAATTCATGACTTTCTTTATGTTTAGGTACGAGTCAAGTATGTATCTCTGACTTGGCGAGAGTAACGTACAGACATCTACGAAACTGTCTGAGATATCAAAAGACGGTCGAATACCGTGGGCAAAAATTGCAAGTGTGCGCTACATACATGAATATCGCATGAAGTGCGTCAGTCGACTGTAATCTATACGTCGAAGAATCAACGGTCGAATGGAGACGCGTCGCGAACTTCGATCACCCCCGTAACCGAGGGTGCCCCGCATCGAACGAGATGCAACTCACGAGGACTTGGCGAGCGGAAAAGGAGCGACGGGGCGTGGCGCCTCTCGGCTCTGATTTATAGCCAGTTAAGAACCGCATATTATCACCACGTACAACTCTAATCCTTCCCAGTGTATTTCCCTCCCTTCCTCATTGTCCTCTCTAACCACCCCTGACTCTCTTTCACACTGGTCACCCTCTCCTTTCTCTCCTCTTCGTCCCTCCCTCGCCCTTCTCTCCCTAACCATCTTACCTCTCACCGTCTCTTTCTCCCGCGCTTCGCTCCGATCTCTCGCCTCCTTTCTCCGTCGCTCCTCTTGTTCCCGTTCTCTTGTCGATTCAACAAGTGCCCGGTCACGCTTCGCAAATATTGCACGTAAGAGGAGGAGACGCCGAGATTACGACCGCATCCGTCCGTTCGCCGCGAGTTCTGCCGAAATTTCCCAGTACTCCCCTCCGATCCAGATTGATAAACGACGGTAAACTTGGATCAGTCGACGAAATCGTTATAACGTACATCTCCGATTTTGCAAACCTATCTTACTCGATATACGTACGGGATTCACTTTCACAGAGAGAGAGAGAGAGATGTATGTAACGGAGACACCGTATCAAACTTCGTGTTGATTCTTGCCAACCTGAAATTTGTACTTGTATGGTATAATTTCGATATGATAAGTGCTCCTACGGCGCAATCTACCGGCGATAAATGCGCGGAGTAAAATAAAAATATGCCAACGTAAGCCGGTATCACTGGAGTTACATGTACGACGATAAGTGAATTATGTCAAGCGGGCACGCGGGGTCATTTTGTCATGAAGTGTATCGAAGCGGCGTAAATACTGTTCGATTGAAATTCGAAGAACCGTTCTATCCGTTGTTCGTCTCGCTTTCTCAAAACTATCGCGTCGTATTCACTGGTCGAAAATCTTCGTAGACGAGGATTCCGGCTGTAACGTCGCTTTTGGTTCGGAAAAAAAGAAAAGGGGCGAGAGAAGGCGAGATGAGATCCACCGTATAGTTTTCCTCTATCACGATTCCACGAACGTTCCTCGGAGCTTGACCGGTTGACCACGTCGCGTTGGAAGGAGAATCTCCGCGAGCGAGTCATATTCCAAGTAGGCCGGCCAGCGGATGTACGCGGTCGCAAGAGAGCAAGCCGTTGCCGCTAGAGACACTCAGCCCAGGGACGTAGCTATCGTGAACGTCGCTGATAGAAACGGTCAAAAGTCCGAGCGAGCCGGCCGCTATCTTGACTGAAAAAAGTCGTTTTTAAACAAGCGGAAAGTTTACTCCGCCGAAAACAGTCGACGCGCATGATCGCGCGATGGAGATCAACGTCAGTGAGGAAGGGGTCGATCGAAATTTCTTACTGCGAATAAAGCTCGGCGAGAATGCAGGACATGTTTGCAGAAGCGTATCACATTGGTCGGAGCAAGTCCTCTCGTTGTTCACCACACGCTCGGTCGTGAGCTCGCGCTATCAGCGTTGCTCGAGGCGGCGTGGTAGTGACGCGCGGAAGCCGAGTTCGATGGAAACGCGGTGACGTCTGTTCCCCTGCGAGCGAATCCTATTAGATCGCCTCTCTCGCACGAAATTCCGTACGAAATGTTCGCGCGTTTATTTCCCATAAACCCCCGCGGGGTTGCGAATCTCCCTCTTTCTCTTTTAGCCTATGTGAAAATTAATGAAACTTAACGTTGCGCGACACGTGGTGTAACGCTCGCTTTTATCAGCTTGCGCGCTGGTGAAAAGACATACTACGTCAACAGCTCGCAACTTTTCAAAACAGAAAGATGCTACATCACCGGTCGGCGCATAAAAGCGAACCTCGAGATCGTCAGGGGACACCGTTCGGGTGGTTATCAACTTTTTTAAAGCTGCGTGAAAAGACTACGCGCGTATTTTCCGTGAAAGACCTAGGAAATTTTGCAAGCAGAGAGAGAACGTTCGAAATATACAGGAATCGCGTCTGCGACTATTTCTAACGCAAATTCATGAAAGTTGCGCAAATTACCGAAGTTTCGGTAAGTGGCAATTCGCTCGAAAGTCGGCTCAAAGACGTTAATCGACTTCACTAACGAGATTAATCGCACGATTATGAAGAGGATCCTACGTTACGTCCTTTTCTTTAGAGTTTCGAATTTCACGCGGACACCTCCTGTGTTTTGTCAAGAGGCGAGTTTCGTCGTCGTCGTCACCCTTTCGACCGACCTTGCCAGCAGCGTAGCTTGTCACTTTTTCCCAGTACCCGCCAGTGGTCCCACCCTCTCTCCCGCCTACCCTTTTTCCGTGAAATCAAACGTCATGTGGAGGCCACGTGGACTCAGCCGGCGGACGAACGTGTCGCTGGTGACATCTCACGGCATCTCCGGGCACAACCGAGCGCACGAGTGGCGATACACCGTTTGTCCCCTCTCTTTCTCACGCTCGCGCGTTCTTGCTCGCGCCAACGGAGAAACGCGAGTCTCTCCGTCTCCCGAGGTGAGCAAGGGCTGGAGGGAGGAACGATTATTTACTTACTTTCACTCGCGCGACCTCGTACGCGCGTAAATCATCCACGGCTGCGTGGGTACTGTGCTTTCGTAGGGTCGCGATACGCCCTACCACGGCGATCGACGGTGAAACTTGGAAAAATTACAACCCAATGCATCGCCTCTGAAACTTCCATCGCGCGTGATTTTCCTAATGAACAAGTCGGATGTTAATAGTCGTTATTTGTCTCATTGGAATGTCTAAGTTTTTCAGCCGAAATATCGTTTACAGATATACTGTTAAATATATCGATACGACTGGAAAACTCGGATTTAACAATAAATTGAAGTGAAAACTGAGTATCTCACAGGTGACAACTATTAATCCTGTGACGTTTCGCTATGATTGTTTCGTTGCCCGATGGTCTCAGAGGGAGGGCTAGCAAATGGTATTGTTCCTTTTTTTTTCTCGCTTAACTCTCTCCATTTGACGAGATTTTTATTTGGATCTTGTTAATACGATGGGTTCGTTAAAAAATAAAACGAAGGTCTTATCTCGAGAGAGAGAAATGAAGTGTAATTTTTCTTGTTTGCGAGTTTCTCTATCACGAATGATAAGGCAGCGGGGTAACGTTTTACAAGATACTGCTGGAAGTCTGCGGTCGAGCTCGCTCGCAGCGATCGTCCGCGTTCCGCTGATGATTTCTTCCAGGCGGCGTGACGTCACTTTTTCATCGTTCCATCGGAGTGCCAAGCGTCACGTACGCTCTTTCGCCTCTGAGTGTCGCGAAACAAAGCTCGATGTTATTGCATTAACACCGTCGTATTCATGAGAAAACGGGCCCCCTTAAAACAGCCCGAAGGCAGTCAGTTGCAATCGTGCGAAATCGTAAGTTAAAATTGACCCTCTCCGCGAGAACCGGCCTTAGATGCAGGCGAGGAGTCGTATTAAACTAAGTTAGCGATTTTACGCATGCTTTCAGAGTTGTGCAATGATGGGTCTGCAGGCGACGGCAGGAAAACGCAAATTGGAGGGAGGTGTTGGCTGCATGGAATTCCACATGGACATAGGCGAGAGTCCGTCGAAGGTCGGACGCGTGGAGGGTAGCTGGTGGGCGATGGACGACGGTTGTTACGGGCCGCCCCAGACGTCGACGTATTACGAGATGGAGGTAAACTCTCCGTGTCTACAGGCGAATCCATGCCAGCCTACGTCGACGAGTTCCTCTCAGCAGCAGTCGCAACATCACCCAACTTCCCAGTCGGCGCAACAGCAATCGTCGAGCCCGTCCACGGTGACGCATCACCACGCGCAACATTACTATCACCACCAACGTGGCACCGTTAGTCCCATCGGTAGCAACGGTTACAGCCAGCTGTCGAGATCTCAGCCCCCTCAATGGGGCGCTCTTCACCACTACGAGCCGCCGACGATACGTCGCGAGGAGAACGGCAAGAGCTACCTGGAACTAGGCTCGAGTTATCGCGTGAACGAGCGATGCTGCGAAGGATCCAAGTCTAGCTGGTGTCGGCGTGGCCGGGCCTGTTACCGGCAGCGGCGGCTCGCCGTGCTCAACATCTCGATGTGCAAGCTCGCCAGGTACCGGCAGTTCCCGGATCCGAGCCTGCACCGGTCGGTCCTGATCTGCAACACCCTGAGACACCTCGAGCGCGAAATGGAGAGGGACCGCAGTCCACCGCCCATGGAGCCGGTCGTTCCGGTGCCCATCGCGCAGTTGCAACCGCCCGAGCAGGGCAGGCTAACGCCTTTCCCGGTGCCGCCAACGTCGTCCGGGGAAACGGACGTCGACTCCGGCATCGGCGACAGCGACGACAGCCGATCGATCAATTGGGGTAGCGTGCTCTCCCTGTCCAGCCAGTCGCCGCTCGATCCGCTCAACAACAACGAATTACTCGACGTGGACATAGGGCCCGATCTCGACTTGGACTTTATGCCCGGCTGGAAGCTGACTCCCCTTCAGGCGGACGACATCCTGAGGACAACCCAGGAGCAGCATCACCACCACCACCATCACCATCACCATCATCACCACCATCAGCATCACCACCACCAGCAGCAGCAGCAGCATCTAATGGGCAGCAGCTGCGGCAGCAGTTGCGGCAACAGCAACGTCGGTAGCGCCGGCGTCAGTAGCGGTAGCAGCAGTAGTACGCACGAGTCGTTGATGTGCGTGGGATCATAGCCCTCGACCTTGACGTCGTTGAGTCACCTGATCGATTTCTATCCGCTGACGCCGCAGGGCAAGTAGACTCCGCGAAGACGCGGGTGAAAGAGAGAGACGACGATGGTGCGGTGTGCTCGGCCGGCGACTCTCGAGGAGTCTCTGTTTTGCGTTAATTTATTGTCAATTATGTACATCCGCGTAGATCACACACACACACACACACACACACACACACGTACCGACCTTCTGTGACACTTGCGTTCTTCCTTCGCTCCTCTTATCACCGCTACCACCGCTAGTACTCTAACCCTAATTACCCCTATTGTTACCACTATTTCTACTATTACTATCGCCCGCGACTACTTATTACTATCGTTACCGTTACTTCTATCGCTACTATTACTACTATTATTACTATTACTAATACTACTACGATTACTACTACTACTACCGCTATCGCTAATCAACGTGTCTCCCGTATTTGCTCCCCGAGGGACGGACGCGAGGGAGGGACACGCGGCGTTTCGCAGGTGCAGTCGAGATTGAGTATTCTTAACGAACGGGGAGAGAAAAGAAGAGAGGGGAATGGACCGTCAGCGAACCGACAGGTGCGTGTTGGACGATCCTCCCAGCAGAAATTCGGGCGTGCAACGAGATAAAGGAGAGCTCCATCTTCGCCGCCGCGTGAAATTTCGGCCGAGATGGGTCGCTGCGAAATTCGGGAAGAATCGATCGAACCGGCAGCACGCGGGAATACTCCGATGATCATCGGCCGATCGCGCCTATTTGAGGTAACGTCGAGTTAGCCGCAAGTCTATGCGCGAAAAGAGGTATCCGGAAGAATCGGTAGAAGAGAGCGGGAAAATTGGCTCGATTCTCGCGTCGAATGCTACCTTTCCAGGACTGAAGGACGACGTGAGCCATGTTTCACAGCTCGCTCTGCGGAATCTTCCCCCTCTCGCACCCCGACGTTGCTCGAGAAGGCCGACCTTTTTTTCACGCTACCGACACTTCGCGAGTTCAGGAAGAATGCGAGCGATTAACAATAAGGCATATCGCGCGTATGGATACCAACACACGTAAGCATACACAACCGCCGTGGCCTATATTATACGCACGGAGAGACACGCAAGTCGTACAGGCCGGCTGTTCTCCTTTTTAGACACACACACACACACACACACACAACATATATGCAAACACAGAGCTAAATTCGCACGGATCGCTCGCAGCGTCCGTCGCTCGGGGTCGTCGTGACGCGTCCTGCCGTCGTAAGCGTGACACGATGTAAGTCGGCGTCCCGGAAACTTCTTCCGGCCGCACCACCTTCGGCTAGCGTGAATTCTACTTCGCTGTCTCGCCTCAAATCTCGGGGTCACGTGTGTTTAACAAGATCCGAGGAGAAATATCACGAGGAGGAAGGTGCCTCTTTATTTAGAATTGATCAGATCCCGCATCGTTAAAGCATAAAGCATACTCGATCATTTTTGTGTGTCGTCAGACCCCGATTGAGGAGGCGAAACAGTGTAGACAGGAACGAACAGAGAATTTCTGATCCAGAGCAGGGTGACCTCAGGTTGTTGGTGCGATCGTTTGCGAGCGAGAGAGATTGTGTGTGTGTATGTATAAAAAAGAGAGAAAGAGGAAAACAGGACTTAAACAGTTGTGTTAGAAATACAATTTGGACTGTGTGATAACACGTTTTAACCGGCGAGCGTAGCGCGCGATAAGCACATCGCGCTCAAATCAGGGATTATTTTCATACAGCGATTGTACGAAAGATCATATTCTCGAGTAATTTTGTCCACCTTGATTTGTAACGCTGTATACTTATACAGATATAAAAGTACAAATGATTACGATACACTTCTTGTTTTAACACAATTGCTCGTGCGAACGCTCGCTGGTTAATGACGTCGATTTGCAGCTCGAGGGAATTATGTGTTTCAGCAAATAATGATAATTACTCAGAATTATTTCGACATTTCCTTGTTTTCAGACTGCGCGAAAAGCGTATATCGTACGTTACTAATCGCAAGTCAAAATGTGGGAATTAAACATGCAAAATAGTCCATCAAACTCCTACGCAACTGGTTAACCCTAAAATGCATGACATGGGCCAATGTGACCCAACCACTGTTTTAAATTGACCTTCCCGCGTAAGAGATGTCTTGCTATTCACAAAGAAAATATCTCTTGCGGCCGACTAATGTTGCGCGTGAAAATTGTGATAATAATGGAGCAGATGAATAGGTCTTCGCGAAATTTGTTCCGCAAGAATGCATTTTTTGAAGTCACTTTTATCGGAGAAAAGTGTGAAAAAGCAAGATCACGAGCAAGGATAAATCTCAATTGCGAAGAGGGTACTACTGACCGTGTCATGCGTTCATTAGTGTGTACGAGGTGACACACCCCACGGAGACGCCGACGCGTGGATATCTCGTGTCTCGACGTGCGACGTCGACAAATGTACCTGCATTTTAGAGATCGGGGTAACGTCCTCCCCTACGGATCGTCGCACGGTGGCCACTGCGCGCCACTGATCTCCCACTAAATGTATCATATGTACACATATAAATAAAGTGGCCGGCGTGCGTGCGCGTGAAGGAGAGGCGGGAACGCTCGAGAGTTAAGGTGTCGATTTTTAAGCACGACCCCGGACGCATCTTCGCGTGGATCCGTGCGCGATCTCGCCCTCAACGTCCACGAATCCATTCAAGAGCAGCTATACTTAAAGAAGAAAAAGAAGAAAAAAGCTAAACGATTTAAGAAAGTCTAACGTTACGAAGAGATATAATAACTTATCGACTCGACTGATTACTTAAACAAGAAAGAGAGAGAGAGAAAGTGAACGAGTAAACGGACGAATGTGTGCGCGCATGAAAGAAGAAGAAAGAGTGAGTGTATAAAAAAGAAAATATTGTAACTATATCATGATACACATATATATATATATATATAGAGAGTTGATCTAAACTGTAATTATATATGATGTTCTCTCTTTCACGGTGACACGGACACGCAATACATACATGAACACACTCGATATACAAACGTACGCGAGATATATTAGGTATTTGTTGTAAATATATACATATATATACATATACACACACGTTACTTACTAAGTCTAGAATCTTAAGCATAAACGCGAATCGTCGAGAAAGAAGAAACCCTTCACCTTCATCCCTTCCCGAGTCGCGTCCTGCCTCGCGTTCCATTTTCTACTTTGTATTATACTACATTACGATCGGCACACCTCCTCTCACACGCCCTCCCCTTCTCCTGCCCGGACGCTTCCTTCTCTCGTCGACCTCCACCTCTTCCTCCTCTCGCGATAATGCTCCCCCTTTCTCCGCGCGATTTCTCCGCGGAAACGACGAGCAATATTACTTTTAACAAGCGCGCGCGGAAAATTTAGGGAAAAAGAGCATATGTACAAATCGACGCACGACCGTGCACGAGTGTCAATCGCGTCGGAGAGCAAATGCAAAAAGTATCAGCGGCGATTGAAGAATCACTGACTCCCTTTCGACTGGGAGAGCGGAATCCACAGGATGTCCTGGTTGCGCGCTTTCTCGCGGGATCTTCTCGCAGAACGCAATTTTTCGTTAACTCGGCGCTGCTCACGAAATTTGAACGTCGCGTGAATTTAATCGGCGAGCCGCTCTTGAAATTCGACCGAGTCTATTCGAAACGAAGAATCTATGTCAGCACTCGCCGATTCCAAAGTTACGTTTGCACGAGAAAGTCGGGAGAGAGAGAGAGAGAGCACGATGCGTGACGGACATCCTGCGGAACGAGAAGGGAGAGCCGGAAGCGAGTCGCGTTTCTAATCCGTTTCACCCTCCGGTTATATTGTACGCTGAAGGGAGAATTCAGCGTGTGTCCGATTGCTCCGCGGAAGAACACTTCACAGCCGAAACTTCATCAACCGCTGTGAAACGATTGTTTAACGGACGTGAGATTGCTCGCTGTGTCCCTCCGCGGAGCAGTCGCGTTGTTCTTCCACGATGTTATTGAATCTTGTAGTCGCGCGTGTTCGTTTCTGACCCCTATTCTACTCCGGCCGAGTGTAGCAGACAGGTGTGTACGCGGAAGATACGTGAGTCAGCCCTGCGTTATTTGCGTATCTTCGTCCCGAATACAGAGCTCAAAGTATATTCTTAAAGAAAGAAAGAAAATAGAGAGAAGAAAGCATCGAAGGGGTGACATCAAGGGCCGTGCTGGTGGCGACCGCCATCTTGGATTCACGCACAAACGACAGCGATCGCCGCCGTCGGCCACACGAACGTAGGCGAATTCGGTCGAAGAATAACCGCCAAAGTTTTCCCTCGCAAACACATTTTCTGCTATGCGCGCGACAATTATTTAAGATTGCGGCAATTATAGGCAATAATGAGAATTCACGGTTCCGCCGGAAGAAGTTCGCCTACGTTTACGACTTCCTTCCCAGACGGCGGGAAGTGTCCGTCGTAAAAGACGTCTGTCTCTCCCGCGACGATCAGCTTCCGCGCGAAGTGCGAGCGAGCGCCGCCGGCATCGGTGCGCCAAGTTTTTCAGGCTGACGGACGCGCGTATCTCGTGAAGTGCCTAAAAACCGCCGAAAGAGAAAGTTACGGCTGTTAAGCGCGACAGCAAGGTCGCGAACGCGCGCGAGTTTTCGGCACGCATAATACCGGTGACACCACACTAACGATTGTAACGCGTTTTTCTTTACATCCTTTCCCTTTCTTTTTTTCACGGGATGGAGGCGTACTGTAAATAATATAAATAGCGCGAAGATACGTTTAAGCGAAATAAAGAGGATATAATAAGTCTAATACGAGAAAAATATATATATATATAAATAAGATATTATATATATTATATATATATATATATTAAAGAAAACACAGAGCGCATATAAAATGCATACGCGTGAGAGCGCGTATGCGTATATATGTGTATAGGATTGTATGTGTACATATATACATACATAGATATGTATATACACACGTACAATTGTGTGTATGTATGCATATGTATACACATATACATACACATATATATGTATATATTTATCTTGATAAATAATACAAGGGCGACGGTGGGCTCGATGATGCTTCCTCATCGTCGCGGCGACGATATTCGAACACGAGATTCAGTTTTATTCGCACGCATGACGGCTCGCGACCGCGTTCAAGTGGTATTTATATCGACATGGCGCTCAATTTTTTCCGAGTTCGCTGAAGGATTCCCTCCCGAGCAGGCTCCTGCTTGCGATCAAAGATCGCCGCATTTCGCCGACTTAGAAACGTTACACACAATGCTTGCGACGTTTTCCTCTTGGCGTGCACGCGCGCTAAGCTCGTAACTTGTTTCAACAATCATCGGGGCTTATGTTACAGGCCGGGCTAATGATCTACAATCAAGTTCCTATATTATTACGATGTTTAATCGAGAATTAGTTACTTATTTCGCGACACCGAGCCGTCACTGCTCGCGAACTCACGGTGATTTTATCATTCTCCCTCGACTCTCTCCGACGTCGCGGGTAACGCTCTGCTTTTTCCACGCGCAGGATAAGAGCGACTTTTACCCGAGGAAGAGGAGGAGGAGGAGGAGGAGCGAACGTGCGAGAGCAGCAGCGTCCCCGGGCGAGAGACGTCGATGGGGAAGCGATCGGGCGCGCGCGCGCGTCCCGGCGCCGTCGTAAGAAAATTAGGGCAGGAAGCACGACGTTGTAAATTGTACATAGTAGCGCGAAGAACATGACGGTTACAGAGAGAGAGAGAGAAAGAGAGAGGGGGGGGGAGAGAGAGACAGAATTAATTAATTTAAAAAGAAAACGAGAGAGAAATATGGATAGGAGGGGCGGTCGCACGCTTCCCGGATCGAAAAAAGAAGGAAAAGCGACGGGAATCCGTGTGTAGGCAATCTCTGTGTAGGCGCGCCGCCGGTTGACCTCCGACGCCCGGTTCTCGCGCGGCTTTTCCGCTCGACGATCGATCGATCGATCGGGGACCTCTCTCGGGAAAATTATCGCGCGCGCTCTCGAACTCTTCTCTTCTTCGAGTCGTCCGCCTTGATTCGACGCCGTGCGCGCATTTCGTCAAACAGTACCGGAGATACTCCGAGATGCGTGTTAACTTGTATCTCGCTCGATCACGCGCCGATCACTCGTTTCATCATCGTAAAACATGTAGGAGCGTGGCGTTGCGAGGCCGCTGCGTGTAAAAGCAAGACATAATCAGAATGAGCAGCAACAACAACGAATCGTGCGACGAGCGTGTGCGAGGAGTTTTTATGCGAAGACGCAACGGTTGTCGCTGTGTTCGGTCGGTTTGCGCACAAAAGTAAAGCACGTGTGCTCCTCGATCATTTAGGAATTGAGAAAATCATTGGTGTATGAGAGAGAAAGAGAGAGAGAGTGTGTACACGAGGAGAGCGAAATCGCAATTACTCTAGTCCTATATGCGGTCGACGAATAATACGGCACACGTGTGTTCGCGAGTGATCGGGCATGTCGCCATTTCCTTTCGTTCTCTTTGTTCGGAAATCGTCAAGTTGTATCACGTACTGTTCTACCAAAATATATTAGCAGCAGCGGCAGCAGCAGAACTGACAGCAAAAGCATACACGGGGAGTCGTTGAAAAATCGATATTGAATAAAAGATGAAAAAGAAACTGCAGCGCACGATATGAAAAACAAGAACTATCAAAAACAATAAAGAGTATTATTCTATATATAACAATGACTTCTTTTTTTATTACATCTGATCCCGCGTGTCCCTTCCTCCAAGTTGTACTAGTTAAGAGAATCTCAGAATATTGCAAGATAGGATAGTCATCACAAAAAGAATTTTATACTTTGATGTTATTAAGAATATAATTAATAATATCGAAATAGCACAAAATATACGAAATATTCCTCATGTAAAGAGAAATTATTCACACTGTTCATCGTATACTTTGGTAATGCTGAGAAATAGCTAGGAATTAATTTATATTACATATCTGTATATCTAATTTATATAATTTTCTATACTAACTTATAACCCTATCAAATATAAAAGAAATATTTGCGTAGAAACATTTTGAAACACTGTAAATGCGACATTTTCCATTTTCTACACATGAGTCTGGAGACCTCAACTATACACTGTCGGATTATTCAAGACGTGAAGGAGTGATCTTGCTCTTCTAACGTGTGTATGTCTCATTCTCACCGTTCCAGCATGGATTTTCATTTCTATTCACAATTCGTCTTCTGTGAACGGTGAATAGAGAGGAGTTCGTCAGTGTTGAATATTTTGAAGAATATCAGTACAGCCCTGTATAAAAAAGAAGAGTTCCTTCAGTGTTGAGTATAAAATAGCGAAATGACGCACAAAGAAATATTTTTCATAGCGAAAGAGACGCTGGAATAAGTATGTGACTTTGCAAAGAGAGTATTTGAAAGTAATAAATGCACTTTTATATAACTGATAATTAAATATGTTTCTTTTGATTAATGAATATGAACTCTTTGAACAGATTATATAGTTATAAACCTATTTGGGGATGCAAGTCTCCCATCAGTCGCATTGAAGCATTTCCGCCAAGAATCCTGGCAGGTAATACGAAGAAATAAAATACTCGGAGTGGACCAAAACTAGTTATGGGGACAGGAGGTTAACAACCTTCGAGACGTGATTGTTAAGAAACCTGAAGGAGGATTTTGCATAGGACGGACAAAACGAACGCCATGGTTTGATATAGACCCTACCCGATAAAGTTATATAGAAATAACTTTTCCTTTAATCTTATCTATTAGCAAATGATAGTCGAGTTTTGATAAATAATGAAATTCGGTTAAGAAAAAAAAAAGGATTCTTATGAAATATTATACGTACCTGCGAGAAATTCGAGACTGACGCAAGATAATCGACAATCATGTTCGCCGAAATGGGATCCATGACAGAGACAGATAATGTGCGTTATACCTAAAGAATGAAAACGTCTCCGTTAGCATTACTTATCTCACTCATAGCTTAGATCCATCCTTACAATGTTCGATGTCAGCCACTTGGTAATAATTGCTCCATTAAGAAAGCCATACCGGTCAGGAATCTGTATGCGAGGTAGGAGAATCATTAGAATAAGAATAGTTTAATGAATACGTATTGACAAAGCACTCGAATGGAACACTAACTACGTACTACCGATGTTCAATCTCAGAGAGGAGTCGTACTGGCGTAAGGTTGAAGGACATGTGTCGACGTAGTTGAGGATCGCCGAGGTATCGTGTACGGCGGTATGTTTCAGCAGGTCTTTCTTCCGTTTGAAAACATCGTTACACCGGTCGCACTGCAACGATTTACAGCGGTGCGTCTTGACGTGTTTCATCATGTCGTTCTTCTGCGAGAAGCATCTACCGCAAATTTCACAGGGATACGGCTTGACACCCGTATGGGTTCTCTCGTGCACGGTTAACGTGCCTTTGCGCGCGAACCTCTTGTTGCAATAGTTGCACGTGTACGGCTTCAGACCCGTGTGGGTCCTCATGTGTTGGTTGAGATTATTCGAACACCTGTACCGCACGTTGCACACCTTGCAGACGTAGGGACACTCGCCAGTGTGTATCCTCTCGTGGGTCAGTCGTGCTTCTTTCGAAATGAAGGATTTCCCGCAATACTGACACATATGCGGCTTCTCCTTCTGATGCACGGACTTCTTGTGATACATCAGCGAGTTCTTGTTCGCCAATTTCTTGTTGCATTCGTCACATTCCACGTAAATCTTATCCCTCTCGTGCGTCTGCTCATGCTGTTTCAAGACATTGCGCTTCGAGAACACTTTGTTGCAGACGTTGCACCGCCATATCTCCTTGTCGGAAGATTTCTTCTTAATGCTGTCGACTATTTCTTCTTCGGTGTGGTTCTTTCTGTGCGTCTTCAATTCGCTCATGGACTTACACTTGTGAGCACAAACCTGCGATATCAAGTCGGCTACTTATTTCATACAGTCAATGTTATCGACGTGATAATCAACCGAAATATCGATAAAGGCGAATAATTTAGAGTCTTTATAAAGTGTCAATGTACTCACGCTGCAGGTATACATTCCATCCTCGTTGCTGTGTCGTTTCACGTGTGAATTCATATTTCCCCTGCGATTGAACGTCGCGTTGCAGATCGAGCACATGTATTTATTTACTCCGTGCGATAATTTATGTTGTCGCAATTGAATCCTCCTGTAGAAAGCTTTCCCACACTGCTCGCAAGTGTACGGTTTATTGCCCTCGTGTTGATTTTTGTGTTCTCTCAGATGAAACCTGTACGAGCATAAGATACAGCATAATAAATCTAACTTTGGCGTAAAGAGACTACCTAAAATAATTTTCAGTATATATGAGACTATTACCGTGATCTAAACGCTTTTTTACAAACTTCACACACGTGTCTTTTTTTTTTAGATTCGTCTAAATGAATTCTCTTGTGACCTCTTAAATAGTTGGAGTGCTTAAAACTCTTTCCGCACAAATCGCACAGATATGGCTTGTCTAATCTGTGAGTAGCTTCATGAATGTCCAAACTAGACCATTTTTCATACGTCTTATCGCACGTGAAGCACCGAACCAATAATTTTCCCCCGTGCAATTGCATAATATGATTTAACAGATCTTTTTTATTATAATACATTTCTTTACAATGACCACATCTTTTACGGACTCCTATTGTATCATTTTCGGCAAGATTTTTATGTGAATGCTTGTCGAAATCTTGTTGAGTCTTAAACAGTTCACTGCAAATTGTACAATGTAACAATTGCTCTGACTCAGAGATCTCAGGTTTATCAATTGTTTGTTCGCTTTCAAGTTTTTCGTTGCCTGTGTGAGAACTTTCTATTTCTAATTCAGTGTTAACTACCACATCTATGTCCTTTTTACCTTGTAACATGTTAGACATTGTTATGTATTCGGAAGTATCTTTCTTCTTTATACAAAATATTTTATGATTCTCAAATATTTCCTGTGTTTCATAAAAATTCTGGCACTGAGAGCATGAAATATCGCGTTTACTATTCCGAATTTTGTCTTGTTCGACTTGCGATATTTCTTTCACTGCACAATTACTGTTATCTTTACTATTACATTCTTTATAAGTTTGACCTATAGTACTTATTTCTGATTGCATAAAACCTTTATCAATGCACTGAAAATTAATGTTCTGTGCTTCAGGACTTTCTTCATTTTCTAACTCCTCCAAACTTGTTTCTAAATCAGGATTTGCCATCTTATTCATAGCAAATGATGCAGTATCAGGATTTGTATTATTATCCATACATATTTCTGCATCTGCTTCTAGTAAACATTTCTCAACCAATGCGTTGTATTTACTTTCATATTCTAGCTGCAACATATTTGTTATATTTGCAAATTATACATAATAAATATATTTTTGGTGCATTTTACATAAATATAAATTCAAAAAATATTTGTGATCGTTACTGTCAGACTTACATGTTTCTCAACGTTTAAAAGTTTCTTCAATTTTATGTCAGTTTTCAAACACGAGATAGCAAGCAAATGTGTAATCTCCAATTTGCTGCAGCATTCAGAGCATAATTTCTGTGGCATCGAATCATCCGTGTCAATCGAAATGGGCATATGCAAATTTATCTTTTCTGTTAATTTAAGCTCTATACTTTTAGCTGCAAAAATATCTACTCCATCCAGAACTACCTCGCCACAAATTCGACACAAATCGGAAAATCTGATGGTGAGACTATGATATTCGTTTGTCTCGATATTCATGTTGCAATATGTTAGCGATACATTATCACCTGCTTCTTGAAGATGTTGCGGCTTATCAAATATATTTATAGAATCTTCACTATCAGTGCGTGAGCTGGTCCCAAATAAGGTAGGAACAGCGCCTTGTTCTATAATAACAGGAATATTTTTGCTTATGTAACAGCGATCTTCTATATGATGAGAACAAATATAATAATTTAAGTGCAATTCCGCATTCGACTTTTCGACCAAATCCGATCTGCCGCACTTTTCTGCCCATGCCTTGGCCCTGCATGAAAATTATTTCATATAAACTTTGTGTCACGGATAAACGGTGAGATGACATCTGTGGTAACTACATATAATTATCGAGTTAAAAACTTAAAGAAGTACTATTTCTTTTTAAATCAATAAATATTAAATAAGTAAAGATTATATAAAATATCAGATTACATAAAATAGGTTAATTTGAAAAGACCGAACACTTACGTGTCATCGTTAGGAAAATTGATGAAAATAACACTTGATGAATCTTCATCTTCTGAGGAATATTTACAATTTAAAGCAGAACAAACAATTCTCATTTTTCGCACGTGAGATTAAACGTCCGTATCGACACTGTTTCCTCCGGGAATGTTTTGTGTTGAATTCGCAAAGAATTGTGAAAGAGTAGAGTTTTCATGTAGCCTCCATTTGTCGTACGACGAATTTGTCGATTGGCTATCGGATAGAGAATTTCTAGGGTACTCGGAGAAGTTTGGAAACGCAGTATCCTATAGCCAATTGACAATACTCGTCGTGGTCCAATGTGTATTTCCCGCGCTTTATTTTGAAATTTTCCATTTCAATCTTCCGACGAATTTTGCGAATTACATACCAATTAAACTTGACAAATGAGATGATAATACGAGACTACGAGTTATTTCGTGAACATAATTCAATAAATGTAATTGCATATAATATCGTAATGTAATTCATAAGTTACGAATGTAAATGTAATTCATACTAAATTAGAGATTTATGTTAATGTCGAAAGTGATGTTATGAAACGCCTGATACGAGTCTAAAATACAGATAATTCGACAATCAAATATATTTCCAATGCTCATGAATATGAATTCGCTCGAGACACTATTAAACTACGCGTTTCGAATTGTGTTTATAGCTAATAACACGACAATGCTCTTGTGCGCGCATAATATTTTATTAACATATGTATTCAACATATATAATTTGCATATGCTTAATTATATACTTTTATTTTATTTTACATGTCTCTCCGGCTGTGAGTCATTTCTCGATTGAGTGAAATACTTGCGGGTTTTCCGTATTCAAGAACAGGCACCTGAAGATATCGTTGTAGAACTCTGGGTAATAATCGCACGCTCGCTGGCAATCCGGCATGAAATTGATCTCCAGCAATTTAGGCTGCATCTCGGAGCCGCGCCACTCCAGCATCAAGTCAGCGGCGTACACGGCTCTGCTCTGCGGACTCTCGGGAATTCCTCTCGGCGGCGGTTCCGCGATCGCGGCTTCGAAAGCCTCACGGAGGACGGACAGAATCTTCGGCTCGACGTAGCTCTCCCACGGATAATCGGGGTACTGATTCTTCCATTGGACGACAAACTCGGCGCATTTCACGTGGTAGAGCGGATTCTCGTCGGAATAATTCATCACGGTGAAGTGTTGCTCGTACACGTCCAAGTTGTTCAGCGCAAACGGCTGATTCGCGAATCGCAGGAAGAAGTTCGCGTACGCATATGCGCGTAACGGCTTCACGGACTTGAGCAACACGACGTACCTGATGTCAAACTTCACCCGGCCGATGTGCGCTCTGTCGTACAAAACCGGCTGCGTGATGTACTTCTGCACGATTTTTGGCCCTGTACAACGTAACCGCAGAATGTGACAGAGATCCTTCGTGATGGTGATGTCCAAGCCTCTTGCCAAATTCCACGGTTTGCAGATCCAATGATTATCCAGGTTCGCGTCCGCCCGTGCCTTGAAGTAACCGACGAACTGTCGCAGCTCCGTCGTCAAGTTGTACGTGGTCGGTAACCAGGCCGGGAAACTTTCGAGAGTATCAAGATCGTATTGTCTGCCTATCGCTTTTCTCCTGCACACGATGGCCAAGAGGTCCTTGACCGTTATCACGTGCTCGCACGGGAATTGATTTATGAATACGCGGGGCGAGGAGATGCTTAATTCTTTGAACGCTTTGAAGTGGGTCACCAGCCACAATATGTCCGCTTCCTGATCGTTGTCGACAAACGTAAATGCTGGATACGTCAAGTATTTATTCACATATTCGTATTGTGAAAAAACCTTCAAAGTTTCGTTGTTGTCAGCCTTTGACGTGTTCGTTTCCGGCAGAGTTTCGGAAATATAATTCTTTGAAAAATCTTCATCAGTTTCAAACTGCTCATAATTTTCAATGTCGAAAGTGCTGTCGACCCACGGCAACAATAACAAACGTCTCATCCAAGAACTGCTCGCTTGACCCTCCACAAAATCTCTCGTGACTTCGTCTCCCATAGCGACATCTCTTATGGGAAACAGAATAGTATAAGATGTGCCTTTTGACACATGCAGGAAAGGCTCTGCTCTGAAATTCGGATTGTCACTGTGATTTATTGCTGATCCTACTTCATCCATAATATACCACATTGGCATACTCTCCTCGACATTTCGGGAGTTCAACGAAAATGATTGATTGTATCGCCACATTTCTTTCATAACACATTCGATTATCTCCTGCTTTTCTGCATTGGTGTCGATGTCCATGAGAGAGCACATACGATCGAGCAAACCTGGTACTTCCGTCAAATTTTGACGTGCAGATCTCGTATCGTATAACCAGGCATGATCAATCAAGTAAATATTATTTGAATCTTGTGCGCTAAGACCATCTTTCACAGAGACAAACAATTTCCAAACTGGTTCTGTGATATGTCTGGTCATACCTTCATACTCTACTTTTGCCAACTGAAAGACAAGTCCACCATCGAAGACTTCATTTTCTAACTTCTCAAACAGAGTTTTCCAAAATAATTGTGGAATACCAGAAGATTCTAGTTGAGGTTTATGTATTTCAAGAAATACGCTGTATAAATCTATACCATTCATTGTAAAAATGTCATTAATTGAGTTCCTGAAACAAAGAAATTTATATTTGGTAGTATAGTTTAATATATATAAGATATATACTTCTGTTAGATACATACTGTTAGAAAACAATCGATGCTTACGTATGCTTGAGAATGTTTATGCAATTAAATCAATCGATTGCAGAAATTAACCGGCTTGCATAAAATTGGCACTGGTTTTCTAAAATTAATAAACACTTAGAATATATACATGATTATGTACCTAAATTTTTTTTAATACTTTATTACACATTTGATATTATTTTAAGCAAAACCTAGGTAGATAAAACAATCATCTTATTAGATTTTCTCACTTTATTTTTTTAAAGGTTAGAAGAAGATAGAGGTTATAAAGGATATTATTAATTTATTTCCTGTAAAAATAAATGACCGGAAATCTGGAGATGGCGCGCTTACCTACACTATTTTAGAATAAGTATAGTAAGCTTTAAGGCGTAAAGTCTGCATCAGACTATGGATTGAAGATTGAGATTGAATTGAAATTTGACCAATCAGTGTAAAATTCACTAAATTTCACTAAACTTGAGTTTAGTTAACTTTACACTGATTGGCTAAATTTAATTCAATCTTCAATCCATAGTCTAATAAGGGCTTAACAAATTGATCAGTCAAATGTGAGAAGAATAATTAATTGTGACTGGCCAATTTTTTAGGAAGAATTCACATCTTGACAGAAAAGTAGAAAAACAACAGCTATCTGAATTCATGCTGCTAATAAGCAATAGAAAGAAAGAACTGTCCGATATCCAATAGGAGAATCCATCTTCTGGAGACAAAAATGTTGCTAAAAAACCTAAAAAGTAAAATCTCGTATTGGATATTGATCGAATCGTAATAAATATCGGTTTGTGGTACATCGGATATTTTACACAAGCATGGAACACAATACGTAGTACGTGGCAGCCGATTCCAATGAGGAGAATTCACTTTCGAAAAGTAAGTTTTCTTACCAGACCATCGTTGCGTTCCGACATTCGACTACGACAAACGATGTATTGTGTATCAGGCCTGAATCCTGCACAACAATTGAACATCGGATGTTGCTATGTGAATTCGTCATTAATGGCCACTCTGCGTCTTCCTGTTGGCGCTATTACACGTTTTGACCGGTGAACGTTGAGTTGGTCTCAGTGCATTCTCCAACGGGTAATTTATATCATCTTCAATTTATTGCGACTTCTTATTCATTATATAATGAAATATTTTCATTTCAATTAAATATTTAATTAAATGTTTATTTCTGATTGATTTCTCAACTTCGGCTTGTTATGCTTACACGTGTGTCTTTATAACCCTACAATTTTCATAATTTTAATTTCATTCATTTCGAGTAATCTTAATTGATTGTATTTTTTCCGTTAAAAATAAAGAAATAAAAGAATAATATTACGTACAATCACTTGGCTCATCTTTTCCGATATTATGAATTTGATAGTGAGTTTATTGTGAGAAGTAATCAATAGTGCAAACACATTGTGTGTTTTATCTCCTGAAAATTGTTCATTCTCTGCTTTTTCCTATATATTGATAAATTCTTATAGTTTGTTACTTGTAATTACAGTCTCTTCTAGGTTCTTGTGAAGAATGGGTAAAGCATCGGGACAGAATATGGCAAGCCAAATTACCAAACAATCATTACATGGGATAAAAAATGGTTCTGTGAAAAAAGATAAGAAACCTAAATTTAAAAACACACCTGCAGGCAAAGTGGCCTTGATGGACAATATGAAAGGACAGAATAAGAATATAGCTCCACAGAAAAAGTTCCAGAAAAATACAGGTGTAAAGAATAATCAGGATTCACCTAAAGAAAAATTGAAACAGTTGGAAGAAAAAGAAAATTCTCCAAAAGGGAAGCAAAATTCTCCCAAAGAGAAACAAAATTCTTCCAAGGGGAAACAAAATATTTCAAAGGAAAAGCAAGCTACGAGTAAGTCACAAAAGAATCAAGGCAATAAAAAAAATAATTTCACACCAAAAAAAGAGTTAGAAGTCAACTCTGAGTCTGATTCTGACATTAATGAGGGAATTGTACCACAAGAAGAAATCAATATGATGGATGAAGTATCTGAAGATGAAGAAGGATCTGATATTGATGTTCCAGATATCTTTGGAGCAAGTTTAGCAGAGGATTCAGATGTAGATGATGAAGATTTTGAAGATGAAAAAGAAGAGCAAGAGGAAAAAGATGAAGAAAGCGAAGAAGAAGATGATGATGATGATGATGATAGTGATAGTGATATAGATGATGAGGAGGAAACAGTTGAACACAAAGGTGTACAAATGTTTAAAGGCATAAAATCAAATGCCAAAGATCAGAATTTGGAAGTAAGTAAGGATAAGGTTGATGATGATGATGATGATGACGACGACGACGAGGAAGATGAAGATGATGATGACGAGGATGTAGATATGGATAAAATGGATACTTCTGTGTTAAAAAATGATGAAGATGATGAGGATGAAGATGAAGATGATGATGAGGATGAAGACGAGGATGATGAGGAAGAAGATGAGAAAGGAGCACTTGGCTTAAAAGTACTTCTAGGGAAAAGTATGACAGATGACGACGATGATGAAGATTTTAATGAAGAAGATGAGGATGATGAAGATGATGATATTAGTGACGAAGAAGAGGATGAAGAAGATGATAGTGCTGTAAAAGGTGTACACGTAAAAGCTGGAAAAGAGAAAGCAGTTAAAACTTCTAACAGTAAAGATGCCTCTAAGAAGGATAAACAAATAGAGAATAAACAATTATCTCCTGAAGAACAAGAAGAGATTGATAAAAGAACTATTTTCGTGGACAATATTCCAAAAGAAACAAAAGAAGGAGCTCTGAAGAAAGTATTTGGTCAATATGGACCTATTAATAATATACGTTTTAGAAATACCTTGCCGAGGAAATTCAAAATGTCCAAGAAAGTTGCTGCTATAACACAAGATACTCATCCAAAAGCAATTAGTGTTGTAGCGTTCATTAATTATAAATCTCAAGAATCTGCAAAAAAAGCACTTTGTATGAATGCAAAGAAATTCGAAGGAAATTATATAAATGTGAAAATTGTCGCTAAATCAGAACAAGAGAAATACGATAAGAAAAAAGCCATATTTATAGGAAATTTGAAATTTGGTATGTATAACAAAATATTTAGTTTATATGAAAATATAATGTATATTAATTAATATGAAAATTCTACTTATAGCATACACGATTGATTGTTATTAAATTAAGAAAACTTTAGGTATCAACATCAACTTTGTCTGGGAATACTTTGGTAAATGCGGGGAAATAAAATCTGTGCGCTTAATACGCGATCCCGTAACGGGGCAAACAAAAGGATTTGGTTACATTAATTTTAAATCTGAAGATGCTGTAGCGTTGGCTCTAAAATTAGATGGTACTGAAATTAATAATCGACCAGTAAGAGTACAGCCATGTAAGGATAGCTTGGAGAAATCGCAAAGCCCAAGAAATCAGGGAAAAAGAGAGAAACGATTCATATCGAATAAAAGCCACGATAATAGGCCATCAAAAAAATTTAAAAAGAACTCACAAGAAGCTGTAGTACGTCCAGTAAGTACATTTCTTTCTTTTTGTATTCTTTATATTAAAATTCGACTTGTCATTATGTGTGAGCTAACATAGTATTATCTCGTACAGATCGAAGATGAAAGGAAAGTTAAGCAAAAAAAGCCACAAAGAGATAATGAGAGTCCCGAGGGAAAAGTCTCCAAGTCTTTTCAGGGTCAGAAAGCCGACGTGAAAAACAAGAAGAAGGGAAGCAAATTCGACAAGAAGAAGAAAGAGATGGCAGGCAAGCTCATGGCTAAACTGAAAAAAGAAAAAGCTTGAGTTAATAACGTATCTTAATTGAATTAATAATTAGTACTATGATACATTTTACTTATAATGAATTAATAATTAGTACTATGATACATTTTACTTGATAATTTCTTGCTCGTTAGAAAGTTATACTATAAGACATTAAAACTTGAAATCGTACTTTATTTCATGTTTATTTAAGATAACGAATACATTGATACGCGGTTATAAAGAATATGATATTCAATTTCCGACAGGAGATGGTCTATTTCCGTCAAGTATGAACTGTTGCACTTAATGCATATAAGCGAATTCTAATAAGTTCACCTTTTTATTGTTGATATATAGTACGTAATATGTACTGCTGATGCAGTGTAATAAATTACAACAATATCGCCATATTCAACGACGTGTTATGTGATCTTTAATAATCCGCTTGTTTCGTTAACAAATTGTTGATCTTGCCGTGCAATTGGATCGGTAAGTTCCGCATGATACCGAACGCGCACTTCGGGCAAAACCGTTTCGCGTAAAATATACCGCAGCTTAAGCACACCGCGTGCCCGCACGTGCTACAATCGCCGCCGAGGACCAAAACTTCACCCCTGTTGGGTAAACTGAATGGATCTTTCATGATGTAACATTCTTCCGAGTAAACCAGCTGCCGTGCGAACGGCGGCTTCGAGCCCTTGTAGTCGTAATGTTCTTTCAAGGTACAGAAAGAGCACGCGAAAATCCCGCCCGCCTTCGGCGTGTGCTGAATAGCTGCGTTATCGTTCCGTTTGCTGATATCGGCTTCACTTGTGGTCGCGTCAGCAGAATCTTCTAACCTACAAATTAACAAGTAGAATCGGCTGTATCAGTTCTGTCTGTTACAATATATTGCGACACGTTTTTTACATTTTACTTTATTTCATAATTATTTTATTCCACATGCATATATCACAATTTCACGTATGCAAATATCCCCATCTTTTACAAGGACAGTATATATTCACACGATTCTCGTCGTGTCACTATGTATCTTTGGCAGAGGCAGTCTCCTCCCGAGACTCTTGAGGCCACCAAGCGGGTTTCATCACCCTCACGTTCACGCCCGCCACATTCAATTGGTGAGCGCTGAGGGACTCGTTGATACGCATCAAGCCTAATCCGTACTTCCCGGTGCAGCCCCGGAACTTCCCCACCGCATTACCGGCCTGGTCGAGGATCTTTTCGTCGTACGCGAGCGGCTTATCCGCGACGTTCTCGAACGTCAAGGGCATCAGCCGTTTCCTCACCACCCCGGTGTGGTGCGTGCGCGCCGTCAATTCCTGACCGATGTAGCAACCCTTGTGGAAGCTGACGCCGTGCAGATAATCGCAGTTGATCTCCAGGGGCAACGCCTTCCCAGGTGGCAGGTCGTGCATACCCTCACCCACTCCCAGTTTATACCGAAACGCTCTATAGCTGTTCTCCGACGGGACCACGTCGTTGTCCAAGTGCTTGATTATCTCGGACGTTCCGATCCGCGACTCGGCTAGAATTCTCAGACCCAGATCGGGTAACCTGGGATCCTCGTAGATCATGATGTTACCGATGAATTTGCTGGCTTTATTATTCAGCGTGCCGCACGGAAAGATCATCCCTTCCAGTTTGCGTTTGCCGTTCTCGTCCACCGTGGTTCGGTGGTCGAAGCGGTTACTCGAGTCGAACATCGCCCAGACGTTGATTCTGTCGCCTGCATCCTCCACGTCTATCTTCCGCTTCACGCGGTAAAGTCTCAAGTGCTTCTGCAAAGATCCGGCGACCTGCGAGTCGCATTCTACATAGTACGAATTGCTCTCTTCGCTCTTGTACATTATAGCGTCGTACATCACCCTGCCTCTAACGTTCAGGAACAGGGTGTAGATGTTAAAGGCACCTTCTCCCAGGTGCTTCATGTCATTCGTGATTAATCCTTGAAGGAAGTCGGACGTCTCATTGCCGCTCACACGTAGTATGCTTCGGTCCTTGAGGCGTTCTAATACCTTGCGACTGGCCTGGGTGCAATTGTGCCTGATTGCGTATCTTTGATAGTCATCGAGCCCTTTACCTCGCATTTGGGAAGCAAATCGGCTAACACGGATAATCATTGTGGCGGACATCATCGAACAAATCTTATTTCTACGAAAAATACACGCAACCAGTAGAACCGGCGGACTAGAAAGATCTTAACCTCTAAGTACTCTATATATTCTGTTTTATCATATTATATAACGGTATTTAATACATAACGATGCTTACATTTTCTGCCCTTTTACGGCAAGTCGCAATTTATTCCATGTATATGACTTGACTCATCAATCCTATTTGTGCCTCAATTCAGTCTTCTGATGCATGGAATAACCTAACCTAATCTCATCGAAGTGAAGTCGCCTCTGACAGGTTGTATTTTTTTTTTATATATATCGCGCATGTCACACATTCTTTCAATTGCAAAGAGAAAAGCTTGAGAGAGCAGCCTTTAAATGTTAACGTAATAACATATAATAAGCAGGCAATGTTTATCCTGATATTAAATCGTATTAATTGAAAATAAACTATCTGACAATGTACAAAATTTAGAGAAACATTTTTAACTATCACGAAAAATTGACAAAATTCAATAGATTGCAATTTTGGCAAAAATGGCGATAATGAGATGCTTTGGAAAAAGTTATCCTACGTTGAAGTAAAAAGCATCCTTTCGCTTAAAGGCGAATAAATTGCTGTATAACGTTTACCAAACGGTAAAATAGAAAGTTTAAAATAACCTTTTTAAAGGCATTATTTATTATTTCTAATAAAAATAAATTTTTTATGTAAAAATAAATATGCCTGAAAACTAGAAGCTTCAAGCTTTGCAATGTTTTTTGAACTAACTTTTTTTTTTCTAAAGTTACGTTAGCCCGTTGAATTTGGGCTATGTATTCATATAATGAGAAAGAGCGAAACTGCTCAATCATTGAGTTGCACTATTTGAAAAAAGTGAAACAAGTCTGATTTATCGTTGAGTTGTACTACGATCCCGAATTATCAGGACGGATAGTGGTGGCTCGCAGCGGAGACTTTGGAACTAATTACAATAACGGGCCTAATAATGATAAAAGGTCTAAATAGCATCCTTTAAAAATAAAAATTCTGAGGATAAGACTATTTTAAATTCACACTTAAAATTGGAATATGTAAAATAAAAAAACAAACATGACGCTTATACATATATTAAAAATAAAGAAAGAGAATATATTGTACAATATTTCAACAATATTTCTACAGAAAATGAGATTTTTTAGAAATTGAGTTTGCAAATATTTATTGCATGTCACAATTGTATCTCAGAAAGAAAAATTATTTCAATTTTAAATCGAATTCGATAAAACAATGCGGCAATAAACAATTACAACCGCGATAAATAGTAATAATGTGGGGACTTCAGATATATTTCTACGATGAAACTCATTTTATTTATTTTCTTTAGTTTAACAAAACGATGGTAATCACAATTAGATAGATGATATCAGTCGCACGCATTTAATAAGGCGATTGGAATTTCGTCTTTGTATTTTTTGTCATTGTTACTTTGCTTTCCGCCCTTTTTTAGTAATCGTTCTATAAATGACATTTAGAGACGACATGATATCTCGCAAAATGTGTATAAAAAATTATTAGTATAAAATATATTTTACAAAATTTACCTAAATAGTGTATCATGTGTGAGACTCATTGATGTAATCTTCTTTTCGTTACTACCTTTCAATCGATACTTGTTTCTCAATAAAAGTATAACTCCGATCTAAATTATTATTTACTCAACGTTCCCGTCTTACAACTTAAAACGAATCAGTTTCCGGAAAAGTATTCATAAGAAATGCGTCTGTTGTAAAGATATTAGATTGACACAAGGCGGCTAAAGAGCAACAATAACTCGACAATCGAAAAATTGACACGAACCGATAAAATCACCACCTTCGTGTTCTCAGCGAAAACGGAAAGTAGTGATAAATACGTGTAAGATTACTATAGTTGCAACGACTTTTCGACGTCTAACGATTCAATCGTATCGGATTACATGTTTAATCAATGCGCAAGTGCAGGATATGCGAGATGGATTAGTCGGTTAGTTTAATCCGGTAATAAATATAGTTCCTACGATAATAATGTATTTTTAATCGGATAAAAGTATTCGGGCGCGGTACAAAAAGTACACAGCGTAGTTTTAGAAACACACGCGCGGCGACGGCGGCGATCGATTAACCAGTCTTCTTCTTTGTCGTCGTCACTGAAATTCCGATCGCGAGCGATGTTTTGTATCCTCATATATCGATTCGCGATATTTCAAATTTCACTCGCGATCGTGGGAATTCGACGTCGAGTAGCGGTTCTCAAACCCGCGTTTATCACCTTTTTATCACGTTCAACGCGCACACAGTTCATAACAACGCGAAGTCCGTAGTTATCGGAATCGCCTTGGATTCTCAGAACAGCAGTTTGAGCACCGCTGCGATTGAGCGGTCTTAAATACGACGTCACTTATCCTCGACTATACTACACATCACACCGCTCCGTTGAGAGACGCGTCCCTTCTATTTTTACACACCGTTGCATTCGTATACAGAGTTCGGTCCGATCGGCGGACCGTTATTACGGGACCACCGCTATTTACACTCCCGACGCTGGTAATCGGCGATCATTCCGTCGAGAGAAGGACCTCGGCCTCATTATTGCACGATCAAAGGTTGATCTCAAGTTACGATTAATCTCTCTACGGGCTAATAATAACGGTTACACATCGCGCTCTTCGCTGTTCTACATGTTCACGTTATGATCTACGATAAGAGGAGACTGGCCAGAACGTGCGCAATTTATTATTGCTTTGGCTATGACGTGTAGTAATATCTTAGCGTATCGTCCTCCGTGGACATCTCTAAAATAACGCGAACGTCGAAACTCGTTCTTCATCGCGAAAATCGCGTTCTCCCTTCTCTCTCTCTCTCTCTCTCTCTCCCTCTTTTCGCGAGCAAAAGTTACAGCGTTGAACGGTTCTTTCATCCTCGACGCTTTATATTCGCCGCGGCGCTCACACAGCAAACCGAAATTCTACGTTAACATTCGTAGACGAACGGGCAAGATGACGTGCGCGCAGCAGACAGCGAAACAAAAAACGCGTGTGTTGTTTGGCCGTTCCGTAAAGAGTAACTTTGTTACTATAGTTGCCGCGCTTCGAGCGGCAGTAATCTCTATTTTATGGGGCTTTGTGCTTTTAAAGGGAAAAGCGTACGGGAAACAAAGCGGCCGATTAATCTTGTTTGGATATTCGCCTCTCGCGGTAGTTTTAACTCGCCGCGGCCGGCCGGTTGACTGTCTGGTCGGTTGCTCTGATATATTCTCGAAGATTATGGAAACATTAATTCGCTGTCGTAATGGGTTCCTCCCCCCCCCCCTCCAGCGGTGGAGCAGAAAGTAAAATTAGTCTCGTAGGTACATGAGGTTTAAGGTAGTTAGTCCGTAAATTTTATTTTCTTCTCAAATGTCAACAGTATATTAATCGAAACACAATCTACACACGTACAAAATTAAAAAAAATTGACCATATCGAAGCTGAAATAATTGAAGTTTGTATTATTTACACGTATCACAGGTACGAAAACGACTTTCGATATTATTAATTAATTTTTAATTCTAACAACCAAACTATTCAGTTTTAATGAAAACGAGGAGACGATGAAAGAGATTTGTAGAAATGCTATAAAGAAGTTATAAGATTATCGACCGTCTAGCTTTCCAACAATTCGTATGTAAAAATACACAATTTCTGATAACCGTTGAAATATGATTGCAAATATTTAGCAATATTGTATACTTTTTCCTGTAAATATCTTTTTAAGGATAGAATAAAAACGTGAAAAATACAAAAAATGCCAAAAAATTCCGACATCGCAATCGTTTTTTTAGTAATGTGCTTTTGTATGTATGCTATCGGTACATATGATACATTCACAACAATATGCTTAACACGGGCAATCCGAGCCGAAAGTATCTAAAATGCGGAAAATAATTATTTCTTAATGAGTTTTTGAACATTATGTAAATATGATATTCTCTTGTTATAATGTCAAAGCTTATGTATCATGTTTATAAACATTTAGCACAGATTTGTCGAACTTCGTGTTAACTATTAACTTCCCAACGTCACGGACCAACTACCTTAATTGCGATGTGTATTAAACGCGCGCAACATCGTGCCGATAACGCTCGTCGACAACGTTCGTCGACGATATCGACGGGGCATCCCCTTACGCTAAATTGCACTGGTCGCTCTCTTTTACACGCGGATAGAGACGGACGCTCTCAAACGACAATCCCGTGTCGCCGCTTGGATGAAGCGTCTTCTGATTCGTCAGAGCTGAGAGTCCCGAGTGTCTTAGTTAAACGCGTTTCTTCGGATTGATCTTCCGTCAGGATCCAAAATCGGGAGTCACTGTTCAGTGCCTGACGTCCACTTCGTCCGTCGCCTGGTTTTCCAATGTGCAGGGTCTATGGAATTCTTGGCCCCTCTCGTGTAGCCACTTGTTCGCGACTGCAGCACGAAAAGGAGTAATGAACGAATGTAAGTTGCCAAGTGTACACAATAGAGCTCGCTTTTATTTGACGTACCCCACTTCGAGCCCGTAAGTACCGGGCAAGCGGCGTGTCTAGTCTTGAAGTCACCCTCGCCGTTGGGTTTGAGATTGTACCAGAACGCTGCACTGCCCTTCCGCGGCCAGAGCGAGATGTTGATAGCGGTAAACACGGTGCCGCCGCCTTGCTCGACGTCGCTCATCTGCAAATAATGCTCGGTCAAGTGTCAGCTCGCGACGAAGTCGCGCGGAGGACACTTACGTAATACAGCACCGTGGCGATTCTGTTGCCGGTCCCGAGGCTTTTGAATGCATTCGTCTCTTCTTTCTACGGAAGCGAAAACAAAAACGAGCCGTGGTGATCGCGAGAGAGAGAGAGATTCCGCGCACGTTCGACTTACCCTGGCGAAGTCAAAGTGCGGCTCGTAGTGGCCGCCAATGCCGTAGTTGACGACCTGGAGCTCCTCGGCGGTCTCGACCGACATGCTCGTCATGTGCTCTACGCGCTTGCTCACCGCCGCCACGTGCTTGTGCTCATGTTCCTGGAGCCAAGCGCTCTTACTGATCCGATAATTCGCTATCTCCAAGGCGCCGGTCTTGTAATTCTGCACTGTGGCGCGCTTAAACTGTACAGACGAAACGAGATCGCCGTTATTCCACAGGAACCCGCGGGAGAATCTCCGCGCAATTTCGTCGCGTTTAAACCGATGGCGAGGGAAACCCGCTATTTTCGCGACAGACAATTTTCGCGCTCTGTCCGAGTATATTTACCCTAGGTTGAGCCATACGCTTGATCGTCTCGATCTCCTCGTCGTAGATTACGTTGTGATAAACGACTATCCGGGGATCCAGATACGCTTCCTCTTCCTTGAACGGCGCGATCTTCAGGAAAGGAATTCCACGGTCGACGTAACGACACTTGAGATTCTTCTCCACCTCCGGCGGAATAGATACCTCGCCGCGACAAAGCATCTCGTATCTCTCCCTCTCCGTCATCTCATCCCACGTTTTCACCCTTTCCTCGGCGACAGTAAAGTTCTGCAAGCGCGATAACGAACTTTATGAACGCTCGTGCGAACGGGATTACTCTTTGCGCGCGATCTCTCTCTTTTCGCATCTTCCAAAAAATCACGAAAAGTTTCTCCCGTTTAACGGCCGTCTTCAAAACGCTAATTGTACCAAACTATAAATTGCTTGTGTTGAGTTAACGTAAAAATGGACTGAGCGAACAAAAAACTAAAAGCGAACAGATGTATAGATTCGCGTTTAATCTCGTACGAATTTCTCTTGATAAACCATCTTATGAGCAAATTATACTGTTGAGAAGTAATAACATTTTTTTTTTTCAATATTAGATATGAAGTTGATTGAATTTAATTGAAAACTGCATTTTTATTGAAATATTGTAGGAATAATAATTAAATGGTGTCAGTTGAGAAAGAATTTCAAGTATATTTCAGTAAAATTTAATTATATTTCCTGGAAAATATTTCCATCAAGGAAACTAAGCAGCAAAAAATAAGTGTGCCAACCGAAAGGTTAATGTAACGATATCGTTCGGTCCAAATAGAATATTGAACGTTACGTATTTACATTATTTTCGCCAAACCCCTTTATTCGCGATACCCAATTTCCCAAATCGGCCCGAACCAACAGCCCGAGCGATTGAATGACTATTTACCTGTTCTGGTATCGCCGTGTCGTCTTGTCCGTCTTCGCCCCGCTTCTTCTTCGACTGACTGGCCTTGCTTTGGATCTCCTTTTGGTAATACGCACGGTTTCCTAGCGCTCTCTCGTGCGTTGGCACCAATTCGAGCAGTTCGTTCGTCATGCTCAAAGCACGGGCGACGTTACCTGGTTGACGGTAAAGATGGAATAACATATTCGCAACGGATAAGCTGTTACGTTAACGTTAAGCGACAGTGCCGGTTGTTTCTTTAAAAATATCCCCCCCCCCCCCCCCNCCCCCCGTGTCTGTCGACAAGTGCGACATGTATGCATAATTAATTATATCATATGATATAATTAATGGCAACGATAAAGCTCCTTTATTTAAGCGCTTATAGGATTTAATATCTCTGATAGACGTTTCAAAAAATATTCGCTTTTCTTCATTTTATTTCACCAAAACGCTCAAGGCAACATTTAAATCTATTCAGCGATTGTGCATGTTAGATAATGATTTTTCTAATAGTATTAATTTCTTTCACAAAACATGCTTAAAACGAACCAACTGGCATCCCAATGAATATCAACCAACAGTAACGTAATATCAATTTTATAACGTTTTATTCAACAATGCAATATGACACGCGTATTATGTAATAATTAGATTTTTGTGTGAGAAATTATAATACCGATGTTATGTAATTGGAGTTCACTGGGATGCTTGCTAAATGTTTCGTATTTAGATTATATCGTCTCCATAAAAGAGTTAGGTGTATTATTTATTTTTATATTGTAAAAAAATGGGAATAATTATACCGTTTACTTAACAAGACAATAATAATTCTCCAGGTTTCGAACCTTGCATGTATGTTGAGAACGCCAAGTACTCCAAGATGTCGGGTTTCGAGGTGGTGGTCGCGTTCTGCTCCTCCTGCAGGCGATCCATGGCCTCCTGCATCCACAACACCGTGTGATAGTAGTCGCGATTATGATAAGACTGCCGGCCTAGCTCGAAGCAGTCGCTCGCTGCAAATGTGAAACCGCGGTCACACGAGAAACTGCCGACGACGCGAGAAGAGGAGAAACATCTCTAGGTAATGCGTGCGGTGTATCTATCGCGTTTCATTAAACGCCGTTTCACAAAACGCTTTCATAAGGCGAGTGCGTTTCTGAATTGGATTTCTTCCCGCGGCATACTGACGCTGGAAAAGTTAGTCCGTTAATTAATTTCCCTGCCGCGCCTCTTCGCCTTTCTTTTCACCGCGAAACTCCCGGGCATTATGCGCCTTTATTTTCCTTCCCTTTTTCGTTGTTTTCTTTTTGTTAATACCGCGAACAGAGCAAGCTGCGCGTCGTGGAATTTATTGTTACGTGAATCGAACAACCCTTTCTTTCTATTGTTCGACGACGTCGCAGTGCTCCCCGGCCAATCGGATTTGTCGTCGTTATACCAATAGCACGAGAGATAATTGCCCTCGAATTCCGACAGTTCGCGACGATTGTTATTCGAGTATAACCTCCGCAGGTTTGAAATGCTTCACAGATGTTACAAATGGCGAAGTTAGCGTCTTTAGGAAAGGATTGAAAGCGCTACTGAAAAACTCTCTTCCATCCGATGGCTGCGGTACAGTTCGTCAGACTAGCTTGTGAAGTAAAATATAGGCAAGTGTATGCGAAAAACAGTGCGAAAGGACTGCACGAGGCTTAATAAACACAATTATTAACTGTTAAATAGTTAGTAATTGAACTGAATCGTTGATTATCGACATCTTGCAACGTTCGCTCACCCGGTTAAATAATATGATGGCTTTAAAGGAATGCTATACTTGAAAAACGACTCTACTCACAGAATACTGATTTTTTTCTGTAAAATTTACTTATTGATTGCATAGCATTACAAGTGCTTCTACATACGTATGAAAATGAATTGCAATGTCCAATACGTGACGTGAATTTACCGAGAATATAATTAGCCACGTGTTAACGTTTATAGTTATGTATACTGGAATCTTCGATAGATAAAAATGCAATTATTACGATTGCATGTTTGACAGGAAGAAAAGAAATCGGCCTTGCGTTTCTCGCGCGTGAAATAAATTTCCCGGTGAAAATTCTATTCGATCGTTGTTCGTTACGTAAGAACGTCTCGATGTGTTTGTACGATCCGCGGAAAAAGAAAAAGTAATAGAAACGTTACCGGTCAATCCGGTGCTGTATTGCACGCCATTCAGAACGCCCTTTGCAACCTGCGCGGTCTCGAGTTTATACGTATCCTGTAGCCTCATCAAAGCGACTGCGGCGCCATTGAGATCCTCGTCGGTCGGGAATTTTAGGTCGCTCCTGGAATTCGTGATGTTCGCGACGAAGGACTTGCCGACATCCTCGGTTATCAGTTCCTCGACTCTTTTCCAGTCGGTGGTCAGTCGCTTCACCAGCAGATAAGCGTTTATGGGATTCGACAGGTACTGCTGGATGTTCCTGGACGCCTCCTCGTGTTCCCTCGCATAATCCTCCACGTTTCTACAAGAAAAAGGGAAAAGAGAAAAATGTATCCACTTGATCGGAAAAAAGTCGCGGCAGCCAATCAATCTTCCCATGCTTTTTCTCTCTCTCGTCCGGGATGTTTTCGTCTGGTCTCACGTGGCAACAGGATGCACTGGAAATGGCTCCGGTGTTAAGTCCACATTCGATCGAGCAGTTCGCGCAACTTCTAATGGCGTGAAATAATTTATCAGGCAGTTGAAGGCTTCCTAGATTATTCAGTCGGTCTCTTTGCACAATTCGCGCGCGCGTTAGCTATGTCGCCGTGAGAATTTGCCACGACCGGCGAATTTCAGCTGAATCAGTATCTCTAAACAGCGTTGAAATTCAGCGACAAGATCGCGCTCGCTCGCAACGGACTTGCCGCGGGCTTCCCGAATAATTTATGCTCAAGTAATCAATGTTATTTTGCGAAACTAACGCACTTCCTTCCATCTGATTTTCCCCGACACGAGAAGCCCGCCTTAAACCGAGGCTCGAGATTTATCTCCCTCGCGCGTAACTAAATCAAGCCAGTCGTGAGAATTTCCCTCGCAATCATTCCGTTTAGTTCTCCAATTAATTGTTCGGTATCCGCGCGATCGTTAAGTAATTCTGAGTCGCGCGGACGAGTCGAGATGACTTCTTATCTCTTCGCGAAAGGGAGAAAAGGAGGAAATGAGAAGGATTGTATATGAGAGAAAGAGAGAGAGAGAGAGAAGGGTTCCGCGCGACTTGCCGTCCAATTACAATCGGGACGCGGATTCTATCGTGATATCAACTTCGCGGCGAACGACAGAGACGTTTCCGACACCTGGCGACACCATTGTCCTCAGCGTTGCACAGTACTCGAGATGTCTTCACTGACTTATCTCACGTCGCGAATCTCCGGAACAGACGTTCCCGTCGATTCGTTTAACGTATAACCGAGACGAACTTTTTCTCGCGCGTATCACGACGATCGTTGGTCCACGGCAGAAAAGACGATGTCGCGTTGAAGTGCATCGGTCACTACGGGAGAGACGTAAATCAACTTTCTTGCGAATGTCAGCCGGGGAAATTAATGGTTCTCTCTTCCTACGGAAGTATCGCATTGGAATTTGGAGATGCACCAAGAGCATCTGAGCGAACATCGTTCCCTATAATAATCCTGTACCAGACAGGCGGACAATGTAAACGATACAAACGCTCGCTTTCTTGCGAGACGCTCGCAAAGGACTATGAATTGTAGAGGCTGTCGAGAGATAAAATTCACTTTTAGGATAAATCGAACAAGCACGGAGAAATATAGTCGGATCACGTGTAAAGCAACATAGACGTAGTCTTATTCGAAAGTTCGCATAAAGCGATCGCAACGATTTCTTAAGACTTTTTAACTCTTTACCTATCAAGCTAAAGGGTTAAATTATTAGTCCCTTTACACAAGTGGTGTATATACATTTACTATTGATGTTTTATCAATCGTCTGCGATTATAATAAAAATATAATAGAGCTGAATGTATTAACGAAGTAATATATGTGTATTTTTTAGCTGACCAACAGTTTTTGGTGGGTACTATAATTGAAAACTGTCGGAAATTCTAACATCTATAGTTATATATTTTATATGGATACGCGCTATTGTTCGTTATTGAGATGATATTATACATACGCGTATTAAGACAATGCACGACGTCTTTCTTATACGATATATTCCATAATCTACTAGATCTTCTACTTAAGCTTTGTAATGCATCATATGTTGCAAGATGTACATTTGTTTGCGAAACGGTTTCAATACATTTTGTCCGTTGAATTAGAAGCGCATCATACGAAAGCTAGTGCTAACGTGTTTGACTGGTAATACAAAAACTCTACTGCTGCACGCAAACGTGCGTAATAATAGCTTGAGTTTCTTACTTCATACTATATCATTTCTTGCATCTGCGTTAGTATAATATAATAGCTAAAGAATTAAAGAAGTTTGTATTTATAAAAAATGTAACAAAGTAGAGAGAGAAAGAGGCAATCATATTCCGCAGTTTCTAGAACTTGTTTTCCCCGATTGTCAGGATATAAACATGTCAAGATCGGTAATTTCGTGCCCCGCCGCTTGTCACGCGCGGAACTTTTGCGGGGCAAACAACGAAGGCAATCGTAAACAAACGCGAGATAAAAGGGGCGGTTTTCGCGTGCATCGCGACAGGTCGATCGTTAGCCAAGGTAAATGACGAGGCGTCGTATAAATTACGGGAATAAACGCGGCAGGTGTATGTGACTTCCAACGCTTCTCTCTCACCTCCGCGGCTCACACCTGACATTCGCAGCTGCCGCGAACGTTGCCGGCGCTTCGCGGAGCATTACTACTTGTCGGTGCTCGTTACCCGCTCGGAATGAACCGTCAATATCCGGGTTTCGCGCGGCTGATACTGTTGATGGATCTTAAAGCTTCCCGATATGGTCGTCCAACTGCACGCGATACATCCGCCTGATGCATTCGAATGGTAACTCCATTAACAGAACCCATTATCAGGATATTTCCTGGAGCCTGAAACGAGGATCTCTCCCTAGGATAATGGCGTTTAACGTATTATGAAGATCTAGCAGTGGAAATAAACCAAGGGAGTTGCCAATGAAACTTTACCTTAAGCTTAAGTTAACTACTCTTTCAATTATATAAAATGATTTTTGAATTTCCGATTAAATAATTTATATATGGAAGAAGAATACAAAAACTGACATGGATATAGAAAGTTGATATATTCATGTTTCTTGGTTAAAGCACCGAACTCTGTACATTAATTTGTCTACTGTGTGCAATAGATGGAACTGAAGTGGCAGTTGGGCGTGTGAAGTTAGCACCCCGTTTTTTAATTGTTTTTTTTTTTTAGTGTCAATTGCCGGAACTTTTTTTATGAATATAAGAGTACTCCTATACTCTTCGAAAAAAAGCTGGAACTCTAATCAGAACTATCGAGAACTAATGTTGGGGTGCTAACTTCACACGCCCGTGGCAGTTTCTGTTTACAAATGCGTTTCATTATTAAAGTTAGTTAAATTTCTGATGTACTGAATTCTCTCTCGGCTTATCTTCGTATAAATTTTTAAGTAACAGATCAGCATAATTTATTACACAATTGTGTTATAGCGAAAGTTTTGAGCTTTTTAAGTCACTTTGGGTCTTGTGGCAATCTATATCCTCTGTCACTGAATTACGTAAAAAGGATTAGTGTCAGATTGTTTTGGGAACCGATATATTTGAGTTTGCTAATCTTTCAACCAACATATCTGAACTTTGCTGTCAAATATCATCTCACAGAATATAAAGCTACTAATTGAAGCTACTGGTGACTAATTTTCCTTGTTTTTCTTGTTTATTCGTTTAAGATGATCGGAAAGAAAAAAAGTCAGGAGATTCTTTTTCACATAATAAAAAATATATAAAGTTAAATTAGAAATAAAGAATCAATTTTATTTGTACATCTTCGACGGGACAGTTTTCGAGCTTAAATACAAAATGGTATATCAGTTTTGGTACTATTTCTCTATATACATTCGAATATGAAAACCCTGCAATATTAACGAAAGCGAAATTCGTATTTTCTTTATAATCGCAATTATAACTGGAACCTTACATCACACGGCAAGATTAAGCTCTTCGCATCGATGAAATGCATCAACGTCCGGTATGAGCTGATCGAGTTATCTCTGGGACTCTTATAGTTCATTCATCGCGCAATGCTACGATGACCGTTAACAGAGAAAACGCCACGCGCTAATGAATAAATGACACGTCGATACGGTGCGCGCGAAGGGCTCTATTAAAAATGGCACGGAGCACCGACGCGCGCGCGCGCGCATCGTGCGAAAGATAGGTACGGTCTCTCGATAACGATAGTTCTTTGTATCGTATCCAGCTCGCAAGTCAATAACGAAAGCCGTCTCGTTAGCGCGATTTTTCACCCGTTTTTCTCTCTCTCTCTCTCTCCGCCCGTCCTGTCAGCCGTTTTCGCAGCGCACGCCACATCGCCCCGGCGACAGATTTTAATTAACGATACGCATGCGATGTGCGGCGGGCGGTGCGAAAGTCCGCGCCTCGAAAAGATGATCGCACGGCTCGACCGTGGTCTCGTCCCTTTTCTCCCTTCGACGTGAGAGCGAAAACGAGAAAGACTAAAATACGCGGTCTCAACACGACGCGCACCTTTGTAATACTAGCGACGAGTGGTCGAGATTTCTTCACTTAAATCGGGACGGTGCGCTAACTTTCTTGAATTATGACCGAGTGAGAGAGAGAAAGGTGTTTTAAAATAAGAGGGCGCTAAGTGCTATTTATGCGAATCTGGAAATTTACTCTTCTCCGGAATTCGTTCTCCATTCTCCCCCGGAATTTGCTTGCTGCGGGTTGTTCTCTCGCGGCATTTTGCGTTTCAGAAGGCGAACCGAGAGACATTTCGTCTTGAAACTTTCAGCGTAATTATTAAAACACGCGTTTGCAGTTAAATTCGCCGCGGAAGGATCACCGTGTATCCTCTCGACGTGTCCGGATATCTCTCTTTCTCCTCTGTAGCTTGGTGCTTTAATCTCTTCTCTCCCATTTTTCATGAACAACGGGCGCATTGTCTGTATTTGCCGGCGTCGCCGCCGCCTCCGGTCAGTTTCCATGACGCTCCCGGGTGTTTTTCTCCATCCGCGTCACCCACGCAAATGGAATAGCACACGGTGGGAGAATGCAACGCGGGAGACAGTGGCGGATTCTACGACGCGCCTTAGGGCCCCAAAAACGACGACAAAGTCGTTGGGAGAAAAATATTCGCAAAAAGATCGCACGGAGGAAACAGTTGTACGTCGCAATAGTCGCGCGTACTCACGATACTTACGTGCTTACTTATCGCGCGATCACTCGACTGGCGTCATCAAAGTCGTATCGTTCCGTTAATAATGGAAACCGAGAGGATGAGCTTCTTCGTCCGTCTGTTTTGCGCACTCAGGATACCGCGTTTGCTAAATCCACCACTGG